AGATGGAGGTACCAACCTTGCCAGCCTTGAGATGACAGATTTCCTCAAGTCATGGGGGGTCGAGGTGCGCCTCTCGTCGGCCCACTTCCCCCAGTCCAATGGCAGGGCAGAGGCTGGGGTCAAGGCTGCCAAGAGGCTCCTCAGGGATAACACTGGGCCCGGGGGTAGCCTGGACTGCGATAGGACATCCCAGGCCCTCCTCCAGTACCTGAACACGCCTCTGCGGGGGGTGAACAAGTCGCCCGCCCAACTTGCCACCGGCCGCCAGCTCCGTGACGGCGTTCCCGTGGCCAGACAGCACTATAAGGTGGACCAGCACTGGCGGCGGGCACTTCGTATGAGGGAGGTGCGCTTGGCCGAAACACAGGATGGGGTCCTGTCGCGGAGGGAGGTATCCCGCCAGCTGGCTCCCCTAGTCGTGGGCACGCAGGTGCGTGTGCAGGACGCAGCTACCAAGCTCTGGGACAGGACAGGCATAGTGGTGGAAGCCCGCCCTCACAGGCAGTATGCCGTCAGGTTGGGTGGCAGTGGCAGGGTGTCCATCCGCAACAGACGCCACCTGCGAAACGGCTCCACACCTGTGCCTACTACTCCGGTGGTGCACCAAGCTGTGCCTCCTGGCCCCCCTTCTGCTGTGCCCTACATACCCGCGCCCTCCTCCGCACCCACGGCCCCTCCCCAGTCGAGCGCGGCCAGGCCCAGGAGAGGCCGTAGGCCTCCGGGCTGGTTGACGGACTACGTGGTGTAGTGTATGTGATGTAAAATCAGTTTAGAGGTTTATTTTATTTTTTTTTTTTTCCTTTGTTTGACTCGTTTTTCCTGCATTATTGTTGTTTTTATGAATGCATTGTTTTCCTTTTGTTAGTTCAAATGTGCATTGTCATTTCCTTTTAACTTGGGGGGGAGATGTAAGATTGTACCATCGTACGATATGTTTTCCCATGTTGAGATGGGGGCTTGTCTTTGGCAGCGCCCGGTTGCCAGTCTCCAGCTGACGCTGTTAGAATAAAGTCTATAAAGAACGTGGTCTATGACTCCAACCTCTCACACTTATGGTCGACACCTTTACTTAATGCCGCACGATAGTTTGAGACACCAATCGGTCCAGCACAGGCAACTCAAGTCCGCGCCAAAAGAGATGCCGTTGGAGGGCGTATGATCTGCTTATAGGGAGGTGTGAGGAGGCCAGGTCTTGGTGGTGGACAGAGAGAGAAAGGTAGACAGACAGACACATACATAGAGACTGACAGACAGAGGCAGATTTTTTTAAAGCTTAGTGTGATTCCAAGCCAGCCGTTGGTAATACTGCATGAGCCTGTCCACCCCAGCCCACGTTAGTAACACTGTACTATCCTTTTTCTCTGAAGCGAAAATTGGTAATTACATTAATCTGTCTGACTCTGGTGCATGTTGGTAAAACTGCACTTATCCCCGCCTGTACTGGCAACACTGGGACGGGGCCGAAACTAAACATGATTAAGACATGATAAATCAGCTCTTGTTGGTAATACTGCAACAACCTGAGTATTCCGATTCACATTGGCAACACTGTGGCGAGACCAAAGATAGACTTATTTCAACAACAACTCAAGTTGGTAACACTGCACTAGAACAGCTATATTCAACACACTGACAACACTGCACAACAAAATGTAAACAAAGTCTTCGGTTCACAAGTTGGTAACACTGCACTCGACCGCCTCCACTTCCCCAATTGTAAAGTTAGGAGCCATTGAGGTTGGGTGGACTAGTCTTACCCCCCGGAATCGAACCAGCGACCCTAAAAACCAAGAAGTGAGCGGTGTACCCACTTAACCGTCACATTCCCATCACCATGAGTAAAACACCCAACATTGGTAATACTACACTAGCCCATCTAGGTTCAATACACGATTGGCAACACTTCATTAATCCCACTAGTACCAATACAGACACACTGGTAACACTGCTTGACTAGTCCCCCCCCCCCCCAATACACACGCATAGACTGGCAACACTGACAAGAGGGCGGAGACGCGACATGATTAAGACATGATACGTCAGCCAAGTTACACAATAATGTTCCTAAGTTGGGTTCCCGGTGTCATTAACTTGGCTAAAACTGTTTACTTTCCCGTGTAGTTAAGACAACGGCACCCGGGGGAATTGATCCACTCCTGAATCGTTTTTTGTTTTGTTAAGGTGGCGGTATTATGCGTCCTTAAGTCTCTAGTACTGGCACGCTCCACCATCACCACTACACCTGTCTACCTGCCTGCCTACCTTTCTGTCTGTCTCCACCACCACATCTACCAACCTGTCTGTCTGTCTCCTCCTCCGCCACACCTGTCTACTTGTCTACATGTCTGCCTCCACCTGCCACCTCCACCACACCTGTCTGTTTCCACCACCACTACCCACCATTACCACCACCACTTCCACCACACCCGCCCACCACCACCTCCACCACACCCACCCACCATTACCATCACCACCACACTCGCCCACCACCACCTCCACCACACCCACCCACCATTACCACCACCACCACACCCACCACTTACACCCCCACCACACCCGCCCACCATTATCACCACCACCCACCATTACCACCACCACCACACCCACCCACCACCACCACACCCACCCACCACCACCCACCACCCTCACACCGACCACCACCACTACACCCTCCCAACCCTCAACATTAACCAGGTACAGAAATATAATAAAAACAAAAATATCCTAAACAGCTTAACATAAAAGTATTCTTCATTCCCCCCAACAGTCAACACAAACTGGAAATGTTTACATCTCTATTCATTTCTCTACAAAATGAAATCCTATTTACCTTTTAACTTGTATTATTAAACAACAAAACAATTATCTTTTTTTTTTTTTACTTTTCCCCAGGATGATGTATCACTATTTATACTTTATTAAAACACAGTTCGTAAAAAAAATCAATCTTTCTGTTACTTTTCTTGTTGCTAATTCTAACCAAGGGTTGAACAGTTAATTACAACAGAGTGTTATCCCAGAAACACACTCACTCCTGATTACATTACATTATGAAAAGGCTCCAGTGATTCAGCTTATAAATATAACACAGTAAAAATGGCCGCCAACTGCCTCTCTCTCTCTCTCTCTCTCTCTCTCTCACACATTTCCGGGGGCTACGACGAGTCTCATTTGCATAATCGCATTCAACAAATATTATTAAATGCATCTGTAAATACTTTGACGACTTCGTTTTTAGACGCGTACCATTCCGCTCCTTGATTTATTAATAACAACAAAAATGCAAAGAAACAACAAAATATGCTGACTCCCCCGGGGTCATTATGTAGACAGACAGACAGATTAGGTATAGAGCACCTTCTTACAATACCGCGAGTTAGACAGCTAGACAGAGAAAGACAGCCAGACAGACTAGCTATGGAACACATTATAAGACCGTGAGACATACAGGAAGACAGACAAATAGACAGGGAGAAACAGAAAGCCTAGTTATGGATCACCTTATAAGACAGTGAGACAGACACACACAGAGAAACAGACTAGTCATGGAGTACCTTTCGACAAGACAATGGGAGGCAGCGAACTGATTATAAACAGACAGGTACCGGTGTAAGGGTCACTAGCAACGACACTATTTCATCAAATTTTCAAGACCACAGAGACACGAGACAATACAATAACAGTAGTGACATACTTACATACACCCTCGGCACTGTACTAGGGTTGCTCATTTTTTCACACTTTTTTAAAATTGTGGGTGGGGGTGTTTTTTCCCATTATTTCGTTACTCCTAAATTCATTGGTGCCAGAATTAATGAAATCCAACATGTTCTAGGGGTCGCGAATCCAAATATAAAAAATGAATTTTTGCGAAAAAACGTCAAAACTCAAGCTTTTTCTCTTATAGATCAGCAATCGCGCTCCTTTTCACTACTTAACCCTAATGGCTGGCTAGAGCAGCTATTCAGCTTTCCATTGACACCTAATTCGATTGCATGCACCTCTTATTTGACCTTCTAAGTCAGGTCAAAGGCTGTAGCCTACCTGCGTTAACGGAGTTATAAATTCACTAGGTTCACATTGGCAGCTTTAAAACCCTGCGCTTCTTTGCAGTGTTTTGACATGTGTTGTGTTGTTGTTGGTACTGTGGTGTTATTTTATAATTTACTCAAATCTGCTATATAGTGAGGCAGTAAATTTATGGTTATCTATTTATGTTGTATTTTCTACAGGTGATTAAATTGCTCTTATGTGACCCTATTTTGTTTGCCTATTTTGTTTTATTACAAAACGTTTTTTTCTTACAGAGTTCATCTGTTTATATACATACAATCATGGAAGAGAGTGAGTCGCAGTCGGGGGAGAATGCTAAGGGGACTGTCAGGCCAACATCATCCACTACCCGTTCTGCCACTGAAATCTATCTAGTAGGCCAGCCAGCATCGTCAATTAGAGGCAGTAAACTCCCGACGATGCGTCAAGTCCTGAAGTTCTTCTTTCACACAGTGAATGAATCTGGTGACAGACAGGAGACGTTTAAAGAAACAGTGAGTAACGTACTCACGTTCTGGAATTTAGCTCGCATCAAGACTATCTCAGAGAGGGGGTGCCGGGAGAAGCTGACAAGGTTATGGGAGCACTGGAGAAGTCTACAAAAAAGTCGGGACAGGGCTGCAAAGGACAAGGTTGAAAACTTCAAGTCTCAACTTGACCTGTTGTGGGACATCGGAGCACCGGACGCCGTAGAGGACATCGAGAAGAACCGGCTGCTTACACCGGCCGACAAACAACAAGACATCGCCTTCTATCAAGACCAACGCGGAGAAAGAAAAGCGATCATGAGTGGTAACGATAAGATTTTTGCCGCTAAGAAGAGAAAGCAGGAGGAACGAGTCGAGAAGCAAAGGTCGAAACAGGGAAGGTTCGCAGCCTGTGAACCAAGCAGCAGTGATTCGAGACCTCAAACCTCTGTGGTGGCTGACACCCCAACGGAAGTAGAAATGGAGAAAAAGGACACAGCGATACAACCTGGCAGGTACACATCAAAGCACCCTTATGTGACAGTTCAGCTTCCACGTCGCATTCTCCAAGAGCCAGCATTAAAAGAACTCGCTGACCGTCTTCGGATATCCAATAACGAAGTAAGTGTATTCATAAATGTGTTTGGAATGTTTGAAATTTCTGTTAATTATTTGATAAGCACTTAAACAGTCGACATTTTCTACTGACACCCTTGCCTGCTTTTGCTCGCAGATAGTTTCGGTGGTCGCAGCAGTGCTGCGCTCTGCTAACCAGCCAGGCGATCTGTCTGAGTTCCGGATCTCGAGAGAGACTGCGAGACGGGCACGAGCTTCACACCGTCGTCAGGTAGCTGCCGCACAAAGGGAAGCCTTCACGCCTCCACCACATGCAGTGGTGCACTGGGATGGTAAGCTGGTTAAGGTGAGAACACGTTTAGGTACTACATTAATATTTTACCAAAGCCTAGACTATTGTAATATATTGTTAGAAATGTATCAAATCATTAACAAAAAGCTTGGAGAAAAAGGCAGCCTTGATAATTCTTCATTATCTGTCTGAATTTTTATATTTCTCTCATTTCAGAACGTCGTGGGAGAAGAAGAACACCGACAGGCCATCTTCATCTCAGGGCGCGGCCATGAGGAAGGGAAGCTGCTTGCTGTCTTGCCAGTGAAGGACGGCACTGGCCTGACCCAGGCACGCGCAACAGCTCGTGCTATCGAGGACTGGAGCTGCGCTTCAAACGTCAAGGCACTGTGCTTTGATACAACGTCGTCCAACACAGGGCGAGTCCAAGGTGCGGTTGTCCATCTGGAGGCGCTGCTGGAAAAACAGCTGTTGAGGCTTGGGTGCAGACGCCACGTCATGGAACTGGTGGTGAGAGCCGCTGCCAGCAACATCTTCGGCAAAACATCGGCCCCTACGGACCCTCTCTTCCAGACTCTTAAGAAAAGGTGGAGTCAACTAGATCACTCTCAGCATCTCAGGCTGGACATTGCAAATCTACCAGAGTCTGACTGGCTCAGTCACCTCCGACACAGGACCGTTAGCTACCTGCTGACCGTCACAGAATGGGCCAGAGAGGATTACCGAGAAGCAGCAGAACTAACGCTCCTCGTCCTCGGTGTGAATCCTCCGCGCGGCACGCACTTTCTGCGTCCTGGCGCATGTCACCACGCTCGCTGGATGGCGAAGATCATATACTACCTCAAGATCTACATGTTTAGCCACCAGCTAGAGCTCAGCAGTGACCTGTGCGTCAAGCTGCAGAGGATGGCGATCTTTGTGTCTCTGCTGTACACACCGGCGTGGCTGAAATCACCAGTAGCCGAGGATGCGCCTGTGAATGACCTGCAACTGCATCACGAACTCCTCCGCTACAGGGCCGTGGACTGTGAGGTGGCTGATGCGGCGCTGGCGGTCGCGAGCCGCCACCTGTGGTATCTAAGGTCACAGACCGTCGTTCTGTCGCTGTGCAGCGAGAAGTTGAGTGCGGCAGAGAAAAAGGAGTTGGCGACCAAATTGAGCTGCCTAGAAGAAACGACAACTTGGTCATCCAACAGACTACACGGCTTTCCGACCTGATAGATGAACGTTCATGGATGATCTTCAAGGAGCATCATGTGTGCGGCACAGCATGGCTGATGTCACCGGTGGAAGACTGGGAGAAAAACGAAGAGTTCATGAAGCTGAAAGATTTCTCCAGAAGCCTGAAGGTAACCAATGACGTGGCCGAAAGGGGAATAAAGCTTATGCAGGACTTCATTGGTTCAGTCACGAAGGATGAGCAGCAGCTGCAGGATGTCATGCAACTTGTGGAAAAGCACAGGAAGCAGATGAGTGGCTTCAGCAAGTCTGCTCTGTGCATGCAATCGAATTAGGTGTCAATGGAAAGCTGAATAGCTGCTCTAGCCAGCCATTAGGGTTAAGTAGTGAAAAGCAGCGCGATTGCTGATCTATAAGAGAAAAAGCTTGAGTTTTGACGTTTTTTCGCAAAAATTCATTTTGTATATTTAGATTCGCGACCCCTAGAACATGTTGGATTTCATTAATTCTGGCACCAATGAATTTAGGAGTAACGAAATAATGGGAAAAAACCCCCACCCACAATTTTCTAAAATTGGGAAAAATGAGCAACCCTAATATGGACTAAGTATGTTAGATGATAATCTTCAGCAAAATATGATAAATCCTGCCGAGGGTTTAGTTTCACTTATTAATCTTACGTAATTTGCTTGGCACGCCACATGCCCATTTGTCACGGGTATATGAGACTTGCATGAAGGCCTATAATTAGTTTGTCCTCTCATGCATATAAATGTCACTAATTAGTCTGCCAGTCAATTATAATTCAACAGTCATTAATCCTCACAGTATCCTGACCGAGTGTATCCTACCTGGTATTGCGGCCAGGCTGATACTGTATCCTAGCCTGATACTGTATCCTAGGCTGATACTGTATCCTAGCCTGATACTGTATCCTAGGCTGATACTGTATCCTAGGCTGATACTGTATCCTAGGCTGATACTGTATCCTAGGCTGATACTGTATCCTAGCCTGATACTGTATCCTAGGCTGATACTGTATCCTAGGCTGATACTGTATCCTAGGCTGATACTGTATCCTAGGCTGACACTGTATCCTAGGCTGATACTGTATCACTAGGCTGATACTGTATCCTAGGCTGATACTGTATCCTAGGCTGATACTGTATCCTAGGCTGATACTGTATCCTAGGCTGATACTGTATCCTAGCTGATACTGTATCCTACTGTATCCTAGGCTGTATCCTACACTGTATCCTAGGCTGACACTGTATCCTAGGCTGATACTGTATCCTAGGCTGATACTGTATCCTAGGCTGATACTGCATCCTAGCCTGATACTGTATCCTAGGCTGATACTGTATCCTAGGCTGATACTGTATCTTAGGCTGATACTGTATCCTAGACTGATGCTGTATCCTATGCTGATACTGTATCCTAGGCTGACACTGTATCCTAGGCTGATACTGTATCCTAGGCCGATACTGTATCCTAGGTTGATACTGTATCCTAGGCTGATACTGTATCCTAGGCTGATACTGTATCCTAGCCTGACTGTATCCTTGAATCCTAGGCTGATACTGTATCCTAGGCTGATACTGTATCCTATGCTGACACTGTATCCTAGGCTGATACTGTATCCTAGGCTGATACTGTATCCTAGGCTGATACTGTATCCTAGGCTGATACTGTATCCTAGGCTGATACTGTATCCTAGCCTGATATTGTATCCTAGGCTGATACTGTATCCTAGCCTGACACTGTATCCTAGGCTGATACTGTATCCTAGCCTGACACTGTATCCTAGGCTGATACTGTATCCTAGCCTGATACTGTATCCTAAGCTGATACTGTATCCTAGCCTGACACTGTATCCTAGCCTGATACTGTATCCTAGGCTGATACTGTATCCTAGCCTGATACTGTATCCTAGCCTGAT